TTAAAAACAGTGAGACCAGTGAAGTATGAACAAAGTCTTAGGAAACACCAAGGTAGAAGACTCTAGAAAGACATTTAGAGCAGATTATAGCTGAATGGGGTCGCTCAGAATGCATTGGAATTAGCCAATCAGAGAAGCAACACAAACCACTATGGATGGGAAAGCGTGAGCTGGCTTGGAGAGAGACACATGTCTTAGGTGTCAGAGAGGAGCAAGTCTCTTGAGATGGTTTAGGAGGCAGGGGGCAAAGTGCAGGAAGGGAAGTTGGTAGGAGGTGAGGCTGGCAATAATGACTAGGGCCAGACTGTGAGACATCTTGGCCATCTGTGCCTTCCCCTGTATTCTCAGAACTGTAAGAGATCTCAAGAGGCAAAGTGACATAGCTGTGTTCTCACCTACCAAGAGGGAGGGGTGCTTTCAGACATGGAGCTTCCACACGCTCGGGTGTTTTTCAGTGTGTAGTTGTCCTTACACGGCCTTCAGGTGACCATTTTCAGTTACTTGGAGGCCTGTTTCATTAAACAGTCAAATCAGTCAAATAAGAGAGCCTAAATATGCTGATATCTACATTGGCCACTGTGACTTTCACACTAGATTTGTCTGGCTTATGATTTATCTGAAAAGGAACCACAAATGGGGCCATGAGTTATTTTCAGTGTTCATGATTTTAGAGGCCAACAGTAAATTCTGAGAAACCAATTTCCACCATAGGCAGAACCCAGCTCCTGGTGACTGATGGTTTGTTCAAGCTTCAAAATGAAGAAAGCTGAGGGAAGATTGGGTAACAGGTGCAACCTGACCAGATTGGCTAAGGGCATTGTAGAACTTGGCAGAAAGGGTAGGTTCCCTTTCTCTCTGCCTCCCAGTGGAGGAGGGTAAGGGTAGGTCCCCTACTAAAACCTTCAGACGTCAGTCCCAGAAAATCAGGCAGAAGTGAGGTCTGTAGGAGGAAGGAAAAACCTCGCTGGACCACATGTAAGGTGGGCAAGGACTCAAATTGAAGGGTTATTCTAGACCTTTTCCCTGTGGCTCTACTGAGAGAGGAAAAGCACCCCAAGCAGGGTCCTGACACTACTCTCATCTCTTCACTGGCCTGTTTCGCCTCCAGTTGGGTCCTGTCCCTCCGATCTTAGATGGAGACAGCAAAACATAGCCCTTGGCTCAACATCAACCTGTCTACCTGTGCACTGGAGCTTGATCTTTCCAGCAAGGAAGTCCATACTCAACCATTCCTAAATCCTGACCACACCCTCTGCACAAAGGGTCTCACTGAACCCTCCCAACAATCTCATGGGATACAAACTGTGACACGGAGAGGTGAAGTCATCTCTTCACAGCCATCATCTACTGCACAGCAGTAGAGGGAATGTGAACTCAGGTGTGCTGACTGCACAACCATATGCTTTGCTTCAGCTTCTGCATACAGTGGGGCTACTACATACACCATGCTGCTTCCCAGGCAGAAATGAAGCTCGATCATCAAAGCAGCACAGGTTCTTTATGGGAAATTTGGAAAAATATTGCAAAAGTGCAAAAAGGAAACAAAACTCGCCCACAAACCCACTACTTCTACCTTCTGGGGAATGGTGTAAATTAAAAACTGAAAATTCCTTCTTATTTCTAACTTCAGCTCTCAAAGGTATCCACAGTCCTTCCAGAGTTTTTTCTGCATTGTTCACACAAACATGTGTAGATATACACATAACACACAGCAATTTTAAAATAATAAAAAGACTGTGTTTGCACATTACACAATAAGATTATCCTACACATTGCTTTTTTTTTTCACTTAATATAAATCTATTCAAGCCTTTTCTAATGATTACATAGTAATCCACTGTCTACTGACCCATAATTTATTCAACTGGTCCTGTAATAAATATCTTTGTCCATATTTCTTTATGTACCCGTGCTAGTAGTTCTGTCAGATACGTTCCAACAAGCGTCTCACAGAGCTTGTGCATTTTCCATTTTGCTAATTGTCAGATTACCCAGTGAATCTTTAATTCTTTACTTTATGATGGCAAAGAGGGGAATGTTGATAATGAAGCTACATTATATAATGAGAATCACACATAGCTTAGTTAAGCATAATTATATACAACACTGAACGAGTGAGATAAGAGGGGTTTCTCATGTACATTTCAAACTCTTCCTCACTAAGAAACCATTGGAGAGATCCCCTCGCTTGCTGTGGGTAAGATAATGTGTCTCCTTCTGGCCTCTCTGGAATTCTCCTCTCTGTGGGGCACTGCTCTTGTCCCACGTGAGTGCATACTGGGGTGTGTCTGTCTTGTGAGTGTGCCTTTATTTACTCTTTTCTGAAAACGTACATTCTTAATGCCTATACTTACCCAACCTGTACTTCAAATACCAAATCTCTGCCAACAGAGAAATGCTCTCTGCTGACTCTCCTGCCTGTCGGCCCAGCCTTGCCTGTCTGCTCCAGAACTGGCAAGTCCAAGGGCTCCATGGCCTCTGATCAGTGAGAGAAGGGCAATGCCACTGTTGTTTCATGAATAGTAACTTCTGGATTGAACTTGGCCTGGTCAGACTCTTCAAGTTCCCTCCAGAGTGTTCCACCCCCACCCCTTCTCCTCTTAAACTGCTCCCACTCACCGCCGTGCCCGCCCAAAGCCCACCTCTGCAGGGACCCCTTGCTGCCAGCCTAAGCTGGACACCCACTCTTCAGATAAATACAAACCCCTTTACTAGACACATACTTCCTGGTATTAGCTATTCCCCCTGCCTGAAAGGCAGTGTAGCCAAATGCAGAACACATGGGACTTTGGGGTCAGAAACGTGGGAGTTTGAATCCTGATTCTTAACCCTGTTGGCTGTGTGATCTTAAGCACCTCTCTGTGCCTGAATTTCCTCAATTATAAAATAGGGGTAATGAAAAAGGAATGCACAGAACCGTTGAAAGCACCTGGTGCAGAGTGCCCGGCACACACAGACATAATAATCTGCAGCTATTCTTAATATCATTCCACCGCCAAGCTTCTCAAGTGAGGAGTTACTGGTAATGTCATCTAAAATTCTAGGATGTTTCAAATTTGGGAATCTTATCAAGTTTCGTTCATACACAAGCCTTGGAAGAGGTTCTGAATCTGAAGCTCCATTGGCCTTAGGTTCAATCACCCTCTGCCGGTCATACTCAAGCATGACTGGGGTAGTGTGACTAATACAGCCCCCTCAGGAAAGGCCACATCTCCAAGGAGGGGCCAGTCAGGATCTACAATCTTTAAATACTTTTCAACTCTGAGAACTCACTCTGCCAGCCTTATACACTTAAGAACCAGGATGAGGGCGGGGGGGGGGGGGGGGGGGGGGGGGGGGGGGGGGGGGGTGTGCCTGGATGGCTTAGTTGGTTAAACGTCTGACTTTGTCTCAGGTCATGATCACATGGTTCGTGAGTTCGAGCCCGCATCAGGCTCTGTGCTAACAGCTTGGAGCCTGGAGCCTGCTTCAGATTGTGTGTCTCCCCCTCTCTCTGCCCCTTCCTCTTTCATGCACTCATATTCTCTCTCTCTCAAAAATAAATAAACATAAAAAAAACAAAAAAACAAAAAAAGAACCAGGATGAGGGAGTGACGGAGCTGAGGTCAGGTGGCCACCAGCTAGCAGGTGTGCAGGCATATTTGCAGGGAGGATAACCCAGGCTTGTCGTTCCTCACACTGTGGTTCCCAACCTGGGGAGGTTAAGAAACCTTTTGGTTCTTGCAGCACCTGTGAGGTAAGCTCTACTGACGTTACTGAGACAGAGGCCTCAGGTACCATATATCCTGCATTGTTGGTACAGTCCCACCCAGTGAAGAACTGTTCCCCCACCCCAACCCCAAATGCCAATAATACTCCTTTTGAGAACCATCTGTAGGGCTTAGACCTCAACAAGCCTTTATTGTTGTTTCCCATCCTGATGAACTGGCAGGAGTGTGAGGTAAGCTGTCAGGTCTCCATTTGCCCCTCTAGCCTGGAGGCTAGGTTACAGTTTTAGATGCCCCATTCCATGGACACCACATCAGTGCTCCCTGGTCCGCCAGCACAGAGGGGGCAGAAGGCAATTGCATGTTGTCTGATCTGTAAAGTTTTTATTTCCAAACCCTATGTAGTACCCTTGCTGAACTGCCATTTGGCATCTTGCCTACAGGCTTAAAAAAGTCAACTCAAGGAAAAACTCCAGCCACTGAACCATGGCTGTCCCAAGAGGAATATAACCCACTAGTTCCACGGCCCTATAATGCCACTGATTCCCTCTCAGCTCTACCAACATCCCCAGGGCTTGGAGTATGCCAAATACGCACGGTCTCAAAGTCTTATCAGAAGAACCCAAGAAAATAATAATTAATGAGCCAACACTTTCTGAGTGCTTGCTATGTGCCAAGCTCTGACACTTTACATACATTATCACACGTAATCCCAAGTAGCATAAAATAAAGCTCACATTAGAAAAAGGCAATGTGGTTTGTGCTAATCCTGCCCCTCGGCCTCTGTGGGTGAGTCACCCTTGGACTGAAGCTGTGCTCTGGGCTGCTGCATTCCCAGAATGCCTCAGGTGTCTCAGCAGCTCAGGGAGTCAGGGACCCAACACTGGGAGGATTTATCTCCCACATGTCTTCTGCCATTAAAAGAGATAAATCCAGGTATTGTCATTACAGTAATGGCCTCTGTGACTAAGAGGAGTTAAATAGAAAGTCAGTGAATGTCAAATATCTTGAAAAATCTATTCACCATGAAGTCACCTTCTAATGTGTTCTGAGGAAACAATAACATCCATTTTCACTCCAGACACTACTCTCCATGGTAAATAATATCACTAGGTGACTCTATCCTGTAAGTCCCCAGAAATTGTTTCTAATTATTGTCAGAGGCACATCAATTACCAATAGAGCCTCCAGGCAGCCCTCATCGTGGCTCTGATTAGAAACATGTTTTACTTCCATTTCTTCTGTCAAGCCTCTCCGCCTTCTACATATTTAATTGCTCCGTCTTGGCGGCAGGACTTCTAGCCTCACCCTCCTCTCTGAACTGTGCCTCTCGTGGATAAGCCAGCATCTCCTCCTGGTCTCAGCCCTGCACCTCACCCTCCCTGAGAAGCACCCAGCACCTGGCAAGGACTCATTCTTGTCCCTTCAGAAAAACAGGAGCTCCAGTGACCCGGATTGAAGCTGACAGAACTGCTTCAATTGAAAACAAAGAAACAAACCCATGTTGGGCCAGGGTCTGTGCTAAGCACACCTCATACATTCCCATTGGATCCTCAGAACAATCCTATGAGGGTACAATTATTATCTCCATTCTACATTTGCAAAAACAAAGGCACAAGGAGGTTACATAACGCCCCCAGGGTCACATGGCTAACAAATGGAGGACTGTCTACCCCCCCAGATGGAGTTGTCTTCACTTCCATTTCTCTCAAGCTTCTCTCAAGCCGGAGGGTGAGCTAGACTTCCTCTTCACTGTCCCTCTCCCTCCTTATCCCTGACCTCTGTGTCCCTCCCACTTATTCTTTGAAGATTCTAGTTTAGTTGGACTCTTTCCAAAGCCACTTCTATCACAGTTCCTGGTGCTTTAAACACAGAGTTGGGCTTCAGGGAGCACCGCCATGTAAACTACAAGAGGAAGCTGATTTTCTTCTACCTACCTCAGCTAGCCCCCCATGTCCATGCTCCTGCCTAGACATCATCACTAACCACAACTGCAGCTGTACTCTGTTTCAGCATCTCCCTCTTGGACTTTCCAGCTCACCTTTTCTAATGCCCCAGCCCCAAAAATTCTTGGACCACACCAGGACCTACAAGCCAAGGTTCCTGGTATCCTATAATTGTCTCTCACCCCTTCACTATCTTCTGCCCTCCTTACCCAACTTCCAGGGACCAAGATGGTGTCACTCCCTGTGTATACCTTCAACTGCCTCAACAGATTTCCCTTCAGCATGCTCAGCTGGCAAAACCCGAAGCTATTCAACTCTCCCCTTACCCCATGTCTGCATGGGGGCAGCCAAGTGCAACTGAAGGAAACAACCATGCTGACTGATCTCCCTTTAGTTGTTACCACAAACCTCAAGGGGGCCCTGCGGTGCCTGGCAGCCTACCTTCCATGTCCACTCGCCTTCCTGGGACTCTTTCACCTCCTCTCTCTTGAAATCTCTAACACTTCTTCCCCCTAAAGAGCTCACAGCTCATAACTTCACTGAGAAAGTGAAGTTTCTACAATCACGCCTGCCCATCTTTCTGCATTTCTGCCCATGTGTTTCCCTGGCCTCTCATTGTTCTGGGTGAACTGTCCACCTGCTATCTAAAGCCAATCCCTCCACTTTTCACTAGAGCCCACCCCCTCATGCCTACCCAAGGACACTGCTTTAGTACCAGTTTCCTTCTCTTGGAATCCATATACAAACAGGATGTTATTTCTCTGATCAAAAACACAAACAACTTCCTCTAACTCCACATCTAAATCAAACTGCTACTCCATTTCTGTTCCCCTTTATAATCAAACTCCTTAAAATGGTTGTCTTTACACCCTCCCTCCCATTCTTCTCTTCTGTCTTTTCTTGAACACATCCCAAGTAGGCTCTTGTTCCCTCCATTCTGCTGAAACAGCTCTTGTCAAGGGCAGCAGTGACCTCTCATTGCTGAGTGCAGTGGTAAATTCTCATTCTAACATGAACCGCCAGTAGTGTTTGATGCAGGTGTCCACACCTTCCTTAAGATGCTTTTTTTCCCCTTCCATTCTGGGGCAACACTCCCTCACCAGTTGACCACCTCGGTATCCTGTGCTTATTCCTCCTGGTCTCCCTCAACATTGAGATGTTACAATCTCCTAGGGTTTCAGATCTTTTCCCTCCTCCAGCTACAATCATTCCTCAGGTGACAGGTCCAGCCTAGACCCCTCCTTTGATATCTGGACTTTGGTAGTCAACTGGCCTCCTTGCTGTTCCTGGGACACACAAAACATACTCCTGCTCCCTTGGCTTTGTGCCTACTGCTCTTTCTTCTTTGATTCCTTCCCCCAAAGAGCTTGTCTCTTTCAGTGTCTACAAAAGAATCACCCCAGAGGTGAGCTTTTTATTTGCAATAACATGGATGGACAACCCTAGAGGGTTTTATGCTAAGTGAAATAAGTCAGATGGAAAAACACAAATACCGTATGATCTCATTTGTATGTGGAATCTAAAAAGCAAAACAAATGAACTAACCAAACAGAAAACAGACTCACAGATACAGGAAACAAATTGTTGGTTACCAGAGTAAGAGGGAGTTGGGGGCCTGGCAAAATAACTGAAGGGGATTACCAGGTACACACTTCCAGTTACAAGTAAGTTGCAGGGATAGAATGTACAGCATAGGGAATATAGTCAATAATATTGTAATAACTTTGTATGGTGACAGATGGTAACTAGACTTATCGTGGGGATCATTTCATAATGTATAAAAATATTGAATCACTGTGATGTACACCTGAAACTAATAGGATATTGTATGTCAATTATACTTCAATTAAAAAAAAAAGTGAGCCCTTCACTGCCTAATTGATCTAACATCGAACCACCATTACCTTCACCACCTGTTCTCCCTACCCCCCCATGCCAATGTATTTTTATCCATAGCATTTATCCCTCTCTGGAATATTATATATTTAGTTGCTTATTTATTATATTTGTCTCCCTTCACTAGAACCTCAATTACAAAGGGAGCTTGGACCACCTTTTCCTTAGCATCTAGAATGGTGTTGGGTTCATAGTGGGCACTCTTTCTAAATGTATTTTGAATGAATGAATGTGGGATTCAAACCCATGCCATCTAACTCCAGTAGCATTGAGTCACAACAGTAGAAGAGGGACATCCTTGCCACCAGTGCCTCTAAGAACTATTCACGAATTTGAAGGATTGGAGGCTCCACCTAGTGAGGGCAGAACCAAAAGAACAAAAGCTGTTTATTATAACCTTATTTTTGCCCCCTATCTGGCAGGCTGAGAAACTCAAGTTACATATCTGTGTTATTATGAGAGATTCAAAACACCCTTGTATCTATCCTGAGAACATCTTGTTTGACCTGACATGTAACTGCATCCATAGATCACTATGGGTTTCTTAGGAGTCTTCTTCAAAAAAAACAAACAAAAAAAACCTCAGCAGTTTCTATTCCAACTGCCATATGTTCACCACCCCCTCCAAACCTGCCCTGAGGTATTTTTCCCCATCTGAGCACACCTGTGCACGTCCCTTGGTAAATCTGCGCCCAAGCAGACAGTGACATCTTGCCCTGCTTAGATGGGAAATGCATCTGTAACACTATAATCACAACTGCCATTTGAGCAGAGCTAGATGGAATCAGAACACTCATTGGTCTATTGAAATAAGGATGGGCTTTTCAGCCCTGCTCCCTCTTCAAAGGGAGAAGTTAGCTTTTTTTT